CGCGTATTTTTTCGAGCGAGTTCAACATCAAAAACTATTGTAATTTTTCTCATTTTTCCCATCTGCAGACTTTGTCATCGTTATTTGCGGGCAGAGGCATGCGGAGTTCCAAGTCTGATAGCAAATCGTCAAAATCAAAGTTCGGCGGCAAAGGAATGATGTCAAACGTATTTTGAGCTATAAACAAATCGTCACTGTTCGACATCGTTTCCAGAATGACTGTTCAGAATATTTGATAACAATATTCAAATTCCGATTGCTAGCTGAACAGGTTTTCTTAAAGGAAACTAATTTCAATAGTCCATGAAAAAGTCTCAAGAGAAGAGGATTCTATTGTTCGAATCCCAACTAAGAAAACATTCATTTAGACTATTCAGTTTTTGCGAAAACCACGTGAATTGAAAACTAAGTTTGTTAGTTACCTCGCACGTCGGCATTACGCTATATACAGCCCTCGGGCCTGCTGCCCTCGGGCTGTATATAGCGTAATGCCTCCGTTCTCGGTAACTAACTCTTACATTTTCCATGAAATGTGCAAAAAAAGGAACTAAAAATGGAAGAAGTTTCAAACTGTATTGCTAATTCATAAAGCGAGTCGACATTTACATAATTATTTGTTTTGAAAGTATTTTCGTACCCCCTGGCGATCCCCTTCTTTGTATCATTGCATTTCACAATTTGAAACGGAATCGAAAAAATTCGTGAAATTTGAAAGTCCTATAACAGAGCTTGTCATTGGACATGCTCAATTCTTCGAACAGAAAGATAGGTAAGGTTTAAGGACTGGTCAACGGAGCGTTCAAAAAGATAACCAGCTTTTTTGGTGTTCGGTTGGTTTCTAAATCTTTTTACCTGATAAAACTATTCTGTTCATACATGCACCGGAAAACTTTGTCACCCAACCTGTTCGTTGATATGCTGTTCTAGGGAATAATCCATGTTTTTCCAATCCTTGTGGGGACCATGGGACTTGCGTTAATGTCACACAGGATAAGTGCAATTGTACTTAACTGGGGACTCAAACGTGAATTATTTGGCTAGCTCTGCTTTTCGTAAACATCGCCTCAGTATTCGAGCTCTAACTGGCATGAATTTTAAACAATTGGTCACTCAAATAACAAGACCAATTAGTAAAACATGCTTAGACCATGTTTTTACTAACTGTCCCTTGAGGATTCATTCTTTGCGAGTTATTGATTTTGGCTTAGCAGACCACTTACCTGTCTTCGCTGTGCGTTCCTACATGGGTGAGGGCGGCGGGCGTTCGCGTGAAAAGTCACACACCTTCACTTATAGGAACATGAAGAGTTTTAATGAGACCAATTTTTTAACTACTCTACGCGAGATCCCCTGGGATGCAGCTTTCATTTTTGATTCCATTGACGATATAGTCAGCGCGTGGGAGAATTTGTTTAACAATGCATTAGATACGCACTGTCCATGGCGCGAAAAACGAGTTTCGCGCGAAAAACAAGCTCCCTGGTTTACAAAAGAGACAACCAAACTACTTCAAAGACGTGATCAACTACTAAAAAAAGCGCGTCTTTCGGATCTCTCCCACGATTGGGAAAATTACAAGCGTGCTAGAAACAAAGCAACTAATGGAATTAAGACGGCCAAACTTAAATACTATAGCAATTGCTTCAAAGAGAACAGCAACAACTCTAAGGCTATATGGAAGACCGTGAAGTCGTTAATAGGATCTAGCGAAAGTACTCTTGAAGCAAGTAGTGATAATAGTGCGGATGATTTCAATTCGCATTTTGCTTCCGTTGCCGATAGGCTAAGAAAACTACTACCCAGCATGCCCTTGGACTTAACAAAACTTGAACATTTCGTTCTCTCTAGAAAGGACAAAGAAGTCTCCTTTTCGATTCCCGCTATCTCAAAAAGTTTCGTACTTGATACTCTTCTTGGCCTGAGCCCAAGTAAGGCAATGGGAGTTGACAAAATCAGCGCGCGTATTCTGAAGGTTGCCGCGCCAATCATCGCACCTTCGTTGACGAAGCTTATAAATCATTCTATCTCGACATCTGAATTTCCGTCACGCTGGAAGATTGCAAAAGTGACTCCTTTGTTTAAGGCTGGAGATCGAAATGATCGAGACAATTATCGACCGATATCGGTACTACCGATTTTATCTAAGATACTTGAAAGACACGTACACAATCACTTGTACCAGTATCTAAGCGATAACAACCTGCTGTACTCACGTCAATCGGGATTCCGTTGTCATCATGGGACAGACACAGCACTCATTAAGATAGTTGATGATCTTTTGTTGAATATTGATCAAAACCGTGTCAATGGTCTGGTGTTGATCGATTACAAAAAAGCCTTTGATATGGTGGATCATCATGTACTCATGGAGAAATTGAAGTTATATGGAGTGTGTGACACCTCCCTGAGGTGGTTTGACTCATATCTCAGTAATCGACAGYAGTTTGTTTCCATTGGTTGTGATAAGTCTGATCTTCAAGGTATCCCTCACGGAGTGCCCCAAGGGAGTATCATCGGCCCCTTGTTGTTCATAGTTTTCATCAATGATCTCCCACTTCATATATCAGCTGACAACGTCAAAGTAGACCTGTATGCAGATGACACAACATTGTCATGTACTTCTGATGTAACTAACATCCAACATCTCGAGAGAGAYCTAGTTGCGGCGGTACAGGAAGTAGAGGTCTGGACAATGAGCAATAGATTGCCGCTAAATGAGTCAAAAACAAAGTCTATCTTAATTACTGGTAAAAGATTACAAAGTAAGATGCCTTCAACATCTCTTTCTATTCATACCTCAAGTGGGAAGCACTCGTGCAAGTTGACACTGTTCGTCTGCTAGGAATTGATATTGACTGCACACTAACTTTTAAGGAACATGTTGATAAAATATGTAAAAAGATCTCGCAACGCATTGATCCTGAATAAGATTAAGCAATGTTTGCCGCGCAAACAGCGAATTCTGTTCTATAATGCTACAATTAAGCCTCTTTTTAATTATGCTAGTGTCGTTTGGCAATCTGCCTGTTCTAAAGAGGTGATTTATTAAGAATACTTCGTCTTCAAAAAAGAGCGGCCAGAATCATATTAAATGCAGAGCCTAGGTCTTCTTCGGTTCCTTTATTCAATGAATTGAAATGGCTGCCTTATTATAATGAGACCGACATAAACATGTGTGGATTACTTTTTAGAAGGACTCGGGGCGAGGTACCTGAATACCTCATGAACAGTTTAAAGCTTAATGCCCATGTAAATAAAAGAAACACTAGATTTTGTAATCTAAATTTTTTAACTCCTAGATATATGCGGAAAACAGAAGGAGGTAGAACATTTTTAATTAATGCAATTGCTAAATGGAACAATTTACCATCTGATTTAAAAAAACAAGTATCTCTCAAGTCGTTTAAAGCAGCCTTAAGGCAAAATTTTTTAAAGGAACAACAATTGTTACATCATTTTTACCCTTAATATATATATTTTTCTACTTTATTTCTTTATTTTTTTATTTATTTATTTATTTTTTTTTGCATGTATATATAACATTAGTTTTTTAGATAATTAGCGCAGTTATTATATTATATATTTATATATTTTTAATCTTTCATAGTTTGTTTATATTGTATATTTGATTGTATATAATTGAGGGCCACAAGTTTATTAGTGGTTTCCACTATTTAGTGCTACCCTCCAAAGTTGCTACTACTACTACTACTACTACTTGCGAGGCAGGCTGGGAAGGACCGAATTGTCGAAGTGAGTACAACTTGATTATTTTTCACTGATCGGTTTCTTTCTTTGTCCGGCATTCATCCATCCATCCATTGCAATTCATTTGTTGCACTTTCGTCCATTTATTCACCGTATTTTATTTATTTTATTATGTTTTTTTTTTTAACTGCCATATAGCTTTGATTGGTGCTTCTACTACTAGGAACATGTGCGTAGCAAATAACATCAAAACATTGAAGACAGAATCTAATAAAGGAGCGGGAGTTTGTTTTCAAGTTTGTAAGAATACTGTAAGGTAAGTTTGTAGCTTGATCACACGGGACTAATCCATTGTTATTATTATTAACGCACTTATTTCGTCTCGTAGTTGCAAGTCGTTCGTGTTTTCCCCATACAATGAGGGTAGCATCACAGGAAGCTGCAAGTTGTACAACGTAAATAGCAAAGACACCAAGCTCGTTTCATGTCCTACTAAATTTTTCTTTGAAATCATGGCCATACCAGGAGCAACAACAACAAACGCACCAGAGGTCACAACAAGTCGTGGAGCAGCTGTCAGCGAGCCTTTCTACACTCTACTCATTCTTTCCATTGTTAAGATGATGTTCCAATCATCCTTGTCATTTTAAATGATATTTCTCCAAGTTGATAATAAGACTCAAAACAGCATTGAATGCTGCCATTGCGCAGGTGCAAGAAGAATCTTACGACTGTGTAAGCGGACTGACAMAACGCCATCATAAGCGCAAGCGCAAGGATCAATAACGTCATTGTTTATATTACTCATCGCTGGATCAATTGAACTTTTAATATTTTCTTGGCTTTGTTTGTGTATCATTTATTTATTATTCATAAATTTCGTTTTTTGCAGAAATGCCTTCTAGGGACACTGGTGAAAAACGCACTGCGCATGTCCACAGCTTTCCCRCTGAAATCTGCCTAATTTCCTTTGTAAAGCGATTTTTGTGAAAGTTTTTTACAATTTATAAGCTCGTAAGATTCATATTTCCATCAATCTTTGTTCATGATAGGTCCTTTTAGTATGTAGTTTCTATTTTTATCTTGTCGTTTCTATTTTGAGAAAATGAGGTTTTTTGTAGTGTTTTCTGTGTTGTCGCTGTAAATCGCCAGGCGCTCTGTTTACAGATTTCAAGACGCGAGCGCCCACTGGCGGGAAAGCTGTGGGCATGCGCAGTGCGTTTTTCACCAGTGTCCCTTCTAGGAGCAATTATGTTTCTCAACCTCGTTC